CAGTATTTCATGAGTATGTGCTTTCCTCAGAAATATCTCTTTTTTGGCATATTTCTCTTTTTTTTCTTTTTTTTTTTTTTCTTTTTTTTTCTTTTTTTTTTTTTTCTTTTTCCCCCTCAGCATGCCCTGATTTTCTGTCCTTTCCATTGAAACCACTCTTTGGCTTTTGTCTTTTCTGATAGCATCACCTAGTCACCCTCTGCAGGTAATTCCTCTGGAGAAGGGCAGACATACAAAAATAATAGTTGTAAATCTCTCCCTATAATTCACTTGGTTTGTGAGGTGCAAAAATAGACATAATTATTTAACTATTTTAGAGGCTACTGTGCTCCTTTGTGTTTAGATGAGCCATAATCATGTTCCTCCAGATCCCAGGAAAGGAAGCTCAAGAAATCCCAGAAGAAAAGGTTGTCCCTCTTTCCAGATTTCCCTATCAAAACCTTTGCCAGTGTGAGATAAAACCTGCAGTATGAGCAAAGAAAGGATAAAGGAGAAGAGAGGAAAAGCAATTCAGAAACTTGGGGGCAGTTCTGGCTCTGCACCAGCAGCTGGTGCTCACCTTTGACAGGTACAGGGAGAAATCAGACTGAAGAGGGATCTCAAGCAAGCAAACAAACAAATCACCTAAATGAACAAGCTGGGTAATAAAGTAGAGCTGAGAATCAGTAGCTAACAAACACATCTCTGTCACCGCACCGCTTTCTCCTGGGTAGAAGGGGAGTCAATTACCCACCTTCCAACAAGTTATTGATCAAGCTGCTGCCATGGATTGAATTGGAGACCTGGCCATCCTGCGTGTGGCTCTTTGATTTTCTCTCCCTCTGTAGTAGCACGTGGATGGAAGCCAGATGAGCCAGCACAGGACTATCGATCAATCCGCCTCCCCCCGCCCTTCCTCCTCCTCCTTTTCACCCCAGTTGCCATGCCAACCACGGCTGCAGCAGCAGCAGCAGCACTGTTTACCTGGCCTATTTATTTTCCTTTTCAATATCCTTCCCTTCCCCCCACTGCTCTCACCTTGGCATGATATTGGCAAAGCACTCAGCAGTTGTAAAAGGCATTAATTTTTATGACTCTGAGGAGGACAATGCAGTTCTTAGTTCTACTTTATCACCCAGTTTGTTCATTTAGTTGATTTGTTTCTGAGAAATCATTGCCTATAAACAACAGACATCTCAGTCACCAACTAGGTCGTGCTCCAGACATGGAGAAGGACCTGTCATTCCAAAAATACAGGTCTCCTTCATATGGTTTAAGTGTGCCTGTACTAAGATGCACATTTTCTTCTTATATATTGCCCAAGAGTGCCAACAGAAAACTTATTCTAGGTATGCCATCATTTACAAGCTGTTAATCTCACAAAACTCCTGGGATAGTATATCATAAATGTGAAGTGCACCAGCATTTCTTTCAGGTCTTCAGCCACCTTTGTAAGGGCTGTTGAGGGTACAGTGTCTTACAGGGACCAGCTGCTATGGAAGGAACAGTGACCAGAGTCATCTCAGTAGAAGATCTTTGCAGAATGTTCACCATGGCTTCCAGCTGCATACAATGAGCAGTTCAGTTTCTGGCTCTTCCCAGTTCAACAGCACTTTCAATCATCCTTGTAATCTTCCCAAGTGGCAATGCAGTCTTGTCCCATCTCTTTTCTCATACTGCTTTCATTGCCTAAAACTGCCTTCCCATTCCTAGGCAGGACGACAGTCATGCTGCAAAGACCAAACAGTAGATAAATGAACAACGTTCAAGGAGTAGCTCATTTCCCTCCTCCTGAATGTGTTATTTTTTGTGCTGAATCATCCATCTTCTGATTCTCAGTATAGCATTCTCTGCTGAAAAAGGCTTTGTGCAGGATATGAAATATAAGATACACAAACAAAAAATATTTCTTAGACTCTAATACAGGTGTCCACCCTGTCTCAAAAGTCTTCCTGGCTTCCTTTTAATTGAAATTCTTCACCCAAGTCTCACATTCCTGATTCTTTCCACTGCAAAGCCTTCAAACCCTCCCAGGAGACTCCCAGTTTTCCTCATAATTCAGTATGATTGATACAGGATGTAAAAAATCAGTTGATATTATCAAGAACATATTATCTCTCCTTGAAGCAAAGCATTACAGGATAAACTGTGGAAATTGCTACTGCATTATATTAGGGAAGCAAATACGGTATTTTAAAGAAAAAAGAGACATCTCTGAGAAACAGAAAGGCATTGGGAATTGGGTGAAAGGAAGTTCCAACCCCCAGTGTTGGGAGGCACAGACAGACTGGGGTCAGTGAGAAGTCCTGCTTAATCCTTGTGTTTTGTCTACCCTAGATCACTGCCACGCTGGGAGTATTACAGAGCCATCATCCTTGCCTCTGAACAGTTTGGCTAATGCCACTCTGTCAGATACGCTACCAAGTTCAACTAGAGTGAACTAGCGCCTAGAGTGTCCCTGTATGCAGGAGCTCAGATCCAAGGTTGGCTGGGCCATGGACTCATTGAGAACGAGCAAGTCTTGGACAGACTCTGCAAAATGAGACTGGAATTGGGTGTCCAACCACTACCACACATGAGGGCCTCACCTCACTGGGGGACAACTGATTCAGAGCACCATGAGATAGAGGTACATGTTTGACTGGCTGGAGCAGTGGTCTGATGTGACATGGCAGGACTTATGATACTAATGCAAATTGTTAGTAGTTGCTAACTAATGAAATTGTTATGCCCGTAAGGCACTTAACACTCTACATGAACAGAAGAGAGGCCAGACCCTGCCCTCAGGATCAGAAGATATAAAAAGACAAGCACAGACCAATAGTGAAAGGAAAACAATTAATATAGAAGGGGTGTAATGAGAAGCAGCACAGGGTTTTGCAGTCACAATTTATGTCTGGTTTTGCAAAGAAAGGCTTGTATGATCACAAGATCTTTGGTGGGGAGAGAGTGTTGCAGTTCGTGGTGAGGTGGGGGGGCACCCCGGGGTGTCCCCGGAGGGCCCCCTAGGCTGTGAGTTGGCTGGCAGCAGCAGGCAGGCAAGGAGACTCCACACGGCTTCTGAGGGTGCTGATCAGATGGAGGTTAATTTGGGGTCCCAACCCCGGGAACAGCATGGCTACTGAGGGAAAAGGGGGGAAGGGGGAAGGAGGGGGAGCCTAGGGGAGGGAAGGGGCAAGAGGAGGGGAAGAGGCTGAGAGAGCGCAAGGGCTAAGAACCCGACTGATTTTATAGCATGGCTTAAGAGGGGAATTGAAGTGGGCGCGGAATCACATTGGGCCAATGGCATGACAGATACAGGATGGTTCAGGGCAGGACCACAGGCTTAGAATATACCATACATTTCGGAGGGGGGAGACAGGGCATACCATTTAAATAAAATGGAACACAACAAGAGAGTGTATGACATCATAGGTCTGTCCAGATGCATGTATGATTTTTGATGCATTGGTCAACTAAAAGCAAATTGGATGGGTGAGAAGCTGGTTCAGATATACTGAATTAAAACAAAAAAAACAAGAGAAAACCCTTTTCCTCAGCTCAGAAGTAGGTTGCAACAGGACTTTGTATTTTCTCAGACTTCAGAAAATTCACACAGGCTGCAGCTCTTAAAAACACATGGAAGAAAGAGCTTTTAACTGGTGTTTGGAATCAATAGAACACAAAACTGTAGGAGATCAGACTACCTTAGTTGCAAAAAGCTGACCCGAGTAGAGATGCTGCTACAAAAGGTGGAGCAGAGGGGTATTAGAGAACGGCATGAAAGGGTGCGAGGAGACTGGCAGGGCTAGCAAAAGCTCACATTATTAGTGGAGGAAACAGGGAGAAGCATACTGGAAAAGATGAATGTGCAGTCTTGCACAGGTGACTTTCATTGTAACAAGTTCCTTAAACTCAGTTAAGTAGGACGTAGCAGATAAATTCAAGCCAGGGACATGACAGTGTGCTGCAGAGACGACCTTTCTAGCTCCACTTGCTGTGTACTGCAGAGAGAAGAGGTGCATGTCTGATCTGGAATATGAATGCTATTGTAATAAAGATGAGAGATGCAGAGCCTTTGATACAATGGCTATAGGAACAAAGATCTTGTGAACACTGGGTGTGAAGAAAAATTAGTTTGTCCACAAATTGTATGGGTGAAGTAAGAGAGAGAGGAATTGCAACACTTGAGCCACACAGGGCTGGCTGTAGAGTCTACCAGAAGAAAATCAATGAGCAGCAAGCGCAAGAAAGATTAGGATTTCATTTTTATCCAGTATTTTAATTAATGGCAAGATGCGCAAGAGGAAGCATGCATTCAGGATACCAAATGATAGTCTGACCCAGCCCAGCCGTCTTTTCCACAAAACATTAGCGTTTCACTAAGCACACGCTGCTGTGCTGTTTCATCAGACACGCTGCTCTGGTGTGTATCATATGATATGGCAGCCGCTCAGGCAGGCGGGGAGCAGTGCAGCCTGTAATTTCCTGGTCATATGTAACTGGGTGGGGAAGCGCCTGATCTTTGGGGTGAGTAATGCTGGAATCACACCATGAGGCACCCTGCTCTTTGCTGTTTGAGGCAGTTGAGGTGTTGCTGTTCTGGCAGACATTCCCCATGGCATCCGAATGCACTCAGGCTCTGCTACACTTACAGCACCCTCCTGTAACCTGTATCGCTGCGTACACCCGGTCATTTTCCCACGTTCCCAGCCTTTTGCCGGCGATCACCGCTACGAGGACCGCGGATGTGAGCGCGGCATATTCGCCTCCCCGCCGCGGGTGCGGAGCAGGCCGCTCCCCGCCGCCCTCACGAAGCAGTGCCCGCGCTGCGGCGTTTATTTAGGAAACGCTCCCGGCTGCCGAGCGAAGGACGCGGCCTCTCCCCGTAGCTCTGCTGGGCTGCGCGGGGCCGGGGGGCACCGCCTCGCTCCTCCCCGCCGGGCCTCCCTGCAATGGCCGAAGCCGTAGCCTCCCCGCCGGGCCGCCCGCCCAGCAGGCCCCGGGCCCCCCACGACCCTCTCCAGGCCAAGGTGGCTTGGTTTTTTTGCTTTTGCTTTATTTTTTTTATTTATTTTTTATTTTGTGAGGTTTTTTCTTTCCTTCATTTTTTTCCCTTTTCCTGCTCCGAGACATTTTCCTACGTGCATTTTTCTCCAGTCGAGCTAATTTACGAGCTGGGTTTGGCGAGGGCCGCAGTTGCCGGCCCCAGCGCGGGGAGGGCGGCCCGGCGTAGGGGGGCTCCCGCTGGGCTCCCCAGCCGGGGAAGCGCACGTCTCCCCGCCCGACATGAGCTGTAATTTCCGGCAGACATTTGAGGTCTGCGACATCTGCACCAAGGCGCGGCAGCTCCCAGCAGCCCCCATGGCCGGCAGCGGGGCGGCCCCTCCTGTCTCCTCCCCAGCCATTTGTGTTTTACTCATTTCCTGCTTCCAGTAATGAGGCCGGCGATGGCGGGGTGGCGGTGGTGCTGCTGAGAAGGCAGATTGTTAAACACACACACACACACACACACACACACACACACACACACACACACACACACACACACACACACACACACAGACACACACGGATGTTTTTGTTTCAGGATGAATTTTTAGTGCTCGTGAAAGGGAGGGACTAAGCGGAGCTCGCTGGAGCCTGGCACAGGATCAGCAAGCTTCCCGGCAGCCCTCTGCCAAAAGAATCCAGACGTCCAGCCCCCCACCCCGGCTCCTGTGGCCCCTTCTTGTCCGCTCTCTTCCCCCCTCGGCTCCTCAGGGGCCTCTTTCCCGGGGCAGCACTGCCCGGGGATGCTGCAGACCCCTTGCTCACCCACGCCTGAGTCCCTTCCCAGCCCCAGCACAGGGCTCCTCCCGCCGTGCAAACACGCTGCAGTCCTGACCCCTGACTCCTTAATCCCAATTTTTCTTCTCGGTCGTCTATGGAATTACTGCAGGAGGGTGAACGGAGGCGGTCACATTAACATCCTCAGAGTAGAAAACAACTCGAGGCCAAATAGATTCATTGCACTAGTGACTTGAACTAGGTGAAATGTCGACAGAATTACTCAACACCACAGCCTCAAACTCTCGGTACAGAAAATAAACAAACCTTCTAGTGATGTTTTGTATAGTCTCCAGCCCAGCCCCAACCCACCCATGTGTTTCATTCCCCAAGGGACGAAAGGGACGTGGGTCTCCTGGCATGTGACTATCTTCCCCTACACATCTGCTACAGATGAACTCTGCTATTATTTATTGAATTCTGTCTCCTGTTACAGTGTACTAACAGGATTCTGCGGGTTTTGTTCAGTTTTCTTCTGTTTTGATTTTTTTTTTTTTTTTTTTTTTTTTAATTTGTAGTTAAAGAAAAAAGAGAACAAAAAACTTGGCTGCAGCTATCAGCTAATTTTTGGTTGCTTTCGAATGCCAAGGCCAGCAGGATCCAGGAATTCATCTACTGGTGCCAGCAAGAAAGCACTGACCCAAACAAGGGAGCCAGAACTTGGAGTGCAGTCCTTGCCAGGGATCAGCAAGAGGCCAGAGAGACCATGCTGCTGAGTCATCACCGCTCCAGCTGCTACAAGCCTTTTCTGGGGACGCGGCTGTTGCTAAGATTCCTGGGAGCTGACTGATTGCTCCTTCTATAGTCATGTAGCACACACGTACACGTCAAAGGAGCAAGGAGCAGCAGCTGGGGCGAGCTCAGAGCGAGCACACAGCCTGCTGGCCGTGCGCGGCCAGCCTCGGAGCCTGTGCGGGCTTCGTGCCCCGCGGGAGCTGCGCTGCTGCTCGGGGCTCCTTCTGCAGGCACAGAGCTACCTGGTTCTCTGGAAGCTCCGTCTGCCTCTCACTCATGGAGGCGTTTCAAAAATCAAACAGTCCAGGCAGTGATTCTGTACGAAGTTTTTTTTCTGTTTGTACTTGTACGTTTCACCATATTCCCCCGCTGCCCCCTCATTTAGAGGTAGGGACATGCTTAAAATCTGTGCAGTGCATTCCTTGCAGGGTCACTGTTCGGTCATTCTCGTCATGCAGTAAATAAATATGTTCAATCAGCAGGCAAGTAAAGTGAGCACTTTCCAGTTCTAGGGCCCAGAACTGATGCTGGTGATATTTTTTATTAAGCCCTGTGAGGTTTCAGAGTATTCTGCAGTTTCACACACTGCACAGGAAGGGAATGCTTGTTCATGAGCATCCTGCATTTTCCTTCTCCCAATGTAATATATTTTAATTTTTTTTCTCCTGTCTTTTATCTGCCTGAGGTTCTTGCCTCCCTCAGAAGCTGCAGTTATCCTTGTTTCCTGATCCACGTTTGACACTCAACAAACTACACGTACTCAGGCTTTCAAATCTTGTGCTATATAATCACATTTAGGTTGTTAAAGCCTAAGGATTTAGGACCTGTCATCTCTCTCTGACATTAGACACATCACTGATTTCAAAGGAATAACTAATCATACTAACATTTAATAGTAAAACTAACGATTCCAGAGCCCAGTCTCCTTCCATCTCTGTTGAGTGTTTGTTGAGGTGCCAAACTCAGAATTACAAATTGCCAAATGAGGATGCAGAGCACTCGAGTTTTGTAGTCACTTTTTTTCCCAGCAGCACCTTGGAGTCCTAGCCATGGTCCAAGATCACTATATACCATAATACTAAAAAAAGGCTCTCTGCTCCAAAGTGTTCCCAGTCTAATAATAAAAAAAGAGACCAACAGTGGGCAGAGATAGACAGGGGAGGACTAGCAGGAAATTCATTGGTTTTGGCCAGCATGGCAGGAGGTGTTTTTCACAAACAAGTAAATCACCTGAATTTTAGGGCAGTTTCTGGTCAGGAAGGAGAGATTTTCTGAGGTCCTTAAAAAGACAGTATTCAACTCAATAGCTCCTTTTTGCAGGAGAAGATAGGCACCTATTGCTATTTCCAAGAAGGAGCTTTCACTATTGCATAAGGTCAGTAGCCCATTTGAATCTACTTCTGGCCAGTTCAACACCGAGGTGGTCCCTCAGCATATGAAATTTTTTTATGGAGACAAATGTAAGGTGTAGCCAAGTGCAGACATTGGTAAACTTACCTGTTAAGTGTTTTGAGAAAGATGATAAGAAATTATGTACATACCAATATAGAAACAATTAAAGTCTAAATTGCTCAAAGTGGATGTGGGCAATCTCCACCACACCAAATGCAAGAAAGGCCTGAGGCACACAACAAAACTGCTGGGAAAAAAAGTGCTTGGGGACTGGAAGAAGCCACTCAATGTTGACTATAAAGGAACAGTTTAAATGGGATTAGATAAATTTTTTCTAGCTTTAATTTATACAGTAGTTTAGGTATGGTAGAGAACAGAGGGGAAAAAAGCACTACACACACACACACACACACACACACACACACACACAAAGTTTCTAATTACTTGCATCTGCAGACTCAGAAGCTGCTTTTGGCTTGTGGCCTGACGGTATGCCTGCATGTGTGGTAAAAGACATGTATGATGAAGCTCATCTTTCCACTCCATGCAGTTACAGGCATGCTGTGCTTGAAAAATTCTGCAGTTACAACATCTGAATCACTCCTTTTTGTTAACCAAGAGTGGTTTTATGCCCCTAGAGTGACTAGCGCTTCAGAGCACAGGGAAGTCTCTTGGGCATTGCTTGCAGAAGCTCACCACCAACAACACAATGAGAAAGAACGCTCTGACCTAAGATGCTCCCCAACATTTCCCATTCTCCAATTTAGGGCATTTTGATATCATAAGAACTCTTAGATCTGTTGTAAAGCATCAGCCCCTTGTATTTGAGACAGATATCTGCTGTGGCTGGGATGGATGGCAAGGGATGCCCAGGAGCAGCTTAAGCTGCAGATGGCAGGAAGTCTTAACGCTGGCTTTGAAGAAGAGGTCAAGCTCCACTCCATACTGAGTCATGCTGTTGTTCAGCCAGTCCTCTTAATACCATCTCTGGAGCAATCAGATCTTCCAAGCTACTGATTGGTGTTGAACCTCTCACATTCAAACAAGATAGTAAAGTGGCCCATGAAGAAATGCTCCTGTGCACCTATTTGTCACTGAAATCTAGGACAGTCCTCAGCAGAGGTTCAGGTTGGGTTGTCAGATAAAGGGTGCTGGCAGCTCTGTATTCATTCTCCTGGGCTAGCATGTAGTGCTGGCTTCTAGCTCCAGCTAGCCTCTGCAAAACTTTCTTTCTCCAAACCCTAGTGATAATTACAGAGCCTCTGAAATGGATCCTTTCTGCTTATAAGAATGTTTGTTTGTATGATAGGAACAAGGATAGCTGCTTCTTCTGCCTTCAGAGAAGTCATGTGAAGAGCCCCAGAAGGCTTCAGCCTTCCCCCACCACTTTCTACATCAATTCTAGGTCTTCATGTTTATTTTCAAGGCTGCCTGTGAAACTGTCCAAGAATATATTAGAAAAGCCTCTTTCTTTGCATGTTGATAGCACTGTTCTTCTGAACCTTAGGATAATGAAAGACAAGGCATTCTGTAAGCAGGGTCATGGCTTTACAGATCACTCTGCTTGAAGATATAAATCTCCTTTCTCTGGCTTTACTGAAGACAGATCTGAAAACAGCAGAGAAAAGACAAGAAGGTGAAAGAAAAAAGAGATGAAAAGAAAGCACAATTCAAAAGAGCTAAACCAGTGAGAGAGAGGGAGTGAGGAAAGAAGCAGCTTGAAAATACAATTAAATCAGTTACAATGAAGAAAAAGGTTTTACCTTTCCTGAGACGTGGGAAAGAAAATCAGCCCAGTGGGATGCCATGCATTGTTCTGCTCTTAGATACTCTAGAGAGAGAGTTTATGAGCATATGGAGAAAGGAATTCCATGCAGTACAAAGAGAGATACTTATATAGGTGATGTGTCTGCTTATACAGCTTAGGCCAGTCTAGCTCTGTGCAGTACATTAACAAAACAAAGTCCTATACCAAGGGCTTTGCAGCTGTTTTCTAATGTCATTCATGAGAGCATTTGACTTGATGTCAGCAGGGATCCATGTGGCATTGCACCCCAAATCATAAGCTTTTTATGGCATGTAAGTTTTATCTTTTCTGATATTTCTATCCTGAAGCTTTAAAATTACTGTAGTAATACACTCATCTGAAGGTCACCAATGCTAAACAACTCCAACATCCACAGATACTGAGCAATCTCAGGACCACTGTGAGATTATATCAATGTCAGTGTAAGGAGTCTGTCATGGGGAGAGAAATCTCCACTCCCATGTGCATGCTTTTGAAGGCCCACAAACCTTTAGTCCAAGAGACTCAATAGATTGTAATAGGATTGTAATTCATGCAAGTGTCATGCTTTGGTGTCAGTGTCATAAAGGTTTAAAAAAGTGTCATTAATCATTAATTGGTTTGTGATACTGAAACACATAAATTACAATTAAAACATAAAAATCTAAATAAAACACACATATCTACTATCAGCCCTTATGGTCCTACATGTCTTTACTTTCTATTTACTTGACTGACTGAAATGAGAATTTTCTGATTCATATTTTTTTTTTTTTTTTTTTTGGTAAGCTGATTTCTTTTCCAGACCTTTGTATCAGCGTAAGAAATGTCTTGCTGGGTCAGATTATTGATTCACCTTGGTGAATTTTCTGATTCCAGCAGCACCAGCTGGAGACTGTATTTGGGGAAGGCATGAGTATTTGATCAAAAGAGATATTACACGAATCAGTGTTGCCCTTATAACCAAATCTGGTTCCTTGTCAGCCATGGTGGGGAGAATAATACTAAGGCAATTATCCTCCTACTTGCTGTTAGGATATCTCATTTTGGAAATTCTGGAAGCACAGGGACAGTGTTTTTTTGTGCAGTTGTTCTTTAGGCTGTTGTTCCTGGAGTAATGAGACTCTGTACTTTCAAGATTTGTTACATGGACACAATCTCATGACAGCAGATAAAAGATGGAAGAATTGACGCCTTAACAATTTCAGAAAGTAGTCTTAGAAAATGAACAGTGATATTAGAATTTGAAATT